GTGTTTTATTTTTTTTAATTTTATATTTTCCCTGATGTATTTATTTTTATTTTTTTTATTTTGGTGTAATATGGGGGTACATATGACAAATGTTTAGGTTACATATATTGCCTTTGCCCCACCCGAGTCAGAGCTTCAAGCGTGTCCATCCCCCAGACAGTGCACCCTGTACTCATTAGGTATGAATATACCCATCCCTGCTTCCCCCTCCCACCTGCCCGACACCCAGTGAATGTTACTACTATATATGCACATAAGTGTTGATCAGTTAATACCAATTTGATGGTGAGTACATGTGGTGCTTGTTTTTCCATTCTTGTGATACTTCAGTTAGTAGAATGGGCCCAAGCTCTATTCAGGATAATACAAGACGTGCTAGATCACCATTGTTTTTTGTGGCTGAGTAGTACTCTATGGCATACATATACCACATTTTGTTAATCCACTCATGTATTGATGGGCACTTGGGTTGTTTCCACATCCTTGCAATTGTGAATTGTGCTGCTATAAACATTCTAGTGCTGCTATAAACATTCTAGGGCAGATGTCTTTTTTATAGACTGTCTTTTGTTCCTTTGAGTAGATGCCCAGTAATGGGATTGCTGAATCAAATGGTAGTTCTACTTATAGCTCTTTGAGGTATCTCCATATTACTTTCCACGGAGGTTGTACTAGTTTGCAGTCCCACCAGCAGTATATGAGTGTTCCTATCTCTTCACATCCACACCAACATTTATTGTTTGGGGACTTTGTCATAAAAGACATTCTCTCTGGAGTTAAGCGATATCTCATTGTGGTTTTTATTTGCATTTCCCTGATGATTAGAGATATTGAACCAGCCTGAGCAAGAGTGAGACCCTATCTCTACTAAAAATAGAAAGAAATTAGCTGGACAACTAAAAATATATAGAAAACAATTAGCCAGGCATGGTGGCATATGCCTATAGTCCCAGCTACTCGGGAGGCTAAGGCAGAAGGATTGCTTAAGCCCAGGACTTTGAGGTTGCTGTGAGCTAGGCTGACACGACGGCACTCTAGCCTGGGCAATGGAGTAAGACTGTATCTCCAAAAAAAAAACAAAAAAAATATAGAGAGATATTGGCATTTTTTCGTATGTTTGCTGGCCATTTGTCTGTCTTCTTTTGAAAAGTTTCTGTTCATGTCCTTTGCCCACTTTTTAATGGGGTTGTTTGGTTTTTTTCTTGCTGATTTTCCTGAGTTCTACATAGATTCTTGTTATCAGCCATTTATGGGATATGTAGCATGGGACTATTTTCTCCCACTCTGTAGGTTGTCTGTTTGCTCTTGTGATTGTTTCCTTGGCTATGCAGAAGCTTTTTAATTTGATCAGGTCCTATTTGTTTATTTTTGTTGTTGCCATGATTGCCTTTGGCATCTTCCTCATATATTCTTTGCTTAGGCCAACATCTATAAGAGTTTTTCCAACATTTTCTTCTAGAATTCTTATAGTTTCATGCCTTAGGTTTAAGTCTGTTATCCACTGTGAGTTGATTTTTGTGAGAGGTGAGAGGTACAGATCCTGTTTCAGTCCTCTACATGTGGCTATCCAATTTTCCCAGCACCATTTATTGAATAAGGATTCTTTTCCCCAGTGTATGTTTTTGTCTGCTTTGTTAAAGATTAGATGGCTATATGAGGATGATTTTACATTTGGGTTCTCAGTTCTGTTCCATTGGTCTATGTCTCTGTTTCTGTGCCAGGACCATGCTATTTTAGTTGCTATAGCCTTGTAGTATAGCTTGAAGTCTGGTAAATTGATGCATCCCAATTTGTTCTTTTTGCTTAAGTTTGTTTTTGCTATACGGGGTCTTCTCAGGTTCTATGAAGCGTAGAATTATTTTTCCAGGTCTTCGAAAAATGATGTTGGTATTTTAATAGGGATTGCATTGAATCTGTAGACCACTTTGGGTAGTATAGACATTTTAACAACGTTGATTCTGCTGACCCATGAGCATGGTGTGCCTTTCTACCTGTTTATGTCCTCTGCTATTTCTTTCCTCAGTGTTTCATAGTTCTCTCTGTAGAGGTCTTTCACTTCCTTAGTTAAATGTATTCCTAGGTATTTTATTTTCTTTGTTGCTATTGTGAAGGGTATTGAGTCTTTGATTTAGTTCTCAGTTTGACCTTCATGGCAGAATCTTTGGGATTTTCTAGATATAAGATCACATCGTCAGCAAAGAGCGATAGTTTGACCTCTTCTGCCCCCATTTTGATGCCTTTGATTTCCTGTTCTTGTCTGATTGCTCTGGCTAGGTCTCACAGCGCTATGTTAAATAGAAGTAATGACAGAGGGCAACCTTGTCTGGTTCTAGTTCTAAGTGGTAATGCTTTCAATTTTTCGCTGTTCAGTATGATATTGGCTGTGGGTTTGTCATATATGGCTTTTATCACTTTTAGGTAAGTCCTGTCTATACCTATTTTGTTAAGTGTTCTTATCATAAAAGCATGCTGAATTTTGTTGAATGCTTTTTCTGAATCTATGGAGAGGGTCATATGGTCTTTGTTTTTACTTCCATTCATGTGGTGAATTACATTTATAGATTTGCATATGTTAAACCATCCCTGCATCTCTGGGATGAAACCCACTTGGTCATGATGGATTATGTTTTTGATAAGGACCTGAATTCGGTTTGCTGGATTTTGTTGAGAATTTTTGCATCTATATTCATAAGGGATACTGGTCTGTAGTTTTCTTTTTTTGTTGTGTCATTTCCTGGTTTTGGTATCAGGGTGATGTTGGCTTCATAAAACGTGTTGGGGAGGATTCCTTCCTTCTCGATGTTGTGGAATAATTTCTGCAGGATAGACATCAGTTCTTCTTTGTAGGTCTGGTAAAATTTGGGTGTGAAACCATCTGGTCCAGGACTTTTCTCTTTTGGGAAGGTTTTTTATTGCTGCTTCAATTTTGGTACTTGATATTGGTCTGCTCAGGAATTCACTTTCTTCCTAATTCAGCCTAGGGAGGCTGTGTGTTTCTAAGAATTTGTCTATTTTCTCCACATTTTCAAGTTTATGTGCATAGAGGTTTTTACAGTACTCATAGATGATATTTTGTATTTCCATGGTATGAGTTATAATTTCTCCTTTTTCATTCCTGATGGAGCTTATTAGAGTCCTTTCTTTTCTACTTCTCATTAATCTAGCAAGAGGCATGTCAATTTTGTTTTTTTTTCAAAGAACCAACCTTTTGTTTTATTAATCTTCCGTATAGTTTTTTTATTATCAATTTCATTTAGTTCATCTCTGATCTTTGTTATTTCTTTTCTTCTGCTCATCCTTTTTCAGTTCTTTGAGACAATTCATTAGATTGTTGATTTGTGATCTTTCTGTCCTTTGGATGTAGACATTTATGAATATAAATTTTCCTCTCAGGACTGCTTTAGCTTTGGTTTATCAACAAAGAATTTGATAACTTATGTCTCTTTTATCATTTAGTTCAAAGAATCTTTTGATTTCCATCTTAATTTCCTCCTTAACCCAATAATTGCTCAGCAGAATGAACTAGGTGATAGCCACTATGATTTTCTTTCATTTACTTTTAGTATTTTTCCAATAAAGGAGAATTATAAAGGTCACTCAAAATATATAAAACAAGAATTAAGCAGGCCAGTATTATTCACAATATCCATTATCATGATTGAACATTTAATTCCACTCTAACTTTGTGTAGATGGAGTTAAGTCAATGATTAAAAGCAGCCACAAGTTTAACATGATCCAATAGAGTATTGTGGCTTCCCAAAACTTGTTGCAATATGAGGACCACTAATAAAAATGTTCAACAGATAGAATTTCTAGTAGAGCTGTCTGACCATGGAAGGAAAAGCCTAACAAAGCAGTAAACCCTGTGTTGATATGTTTGCGCACAACCTGTTCTCTCTGCCTAGAATACTGACCCCTTTGCTTCTCTGCCTAGCTAACTCCAACTCAACCTACAATGGTCAGCTCAAGAATCACCTCTTCCAGGGAAGCTATCCCAATCCTCTCTCCTTCACCTTTGTGGTTTAGATACTTGCTACTCAAAGTGTGGTCCTCAAATCAAAAACATTTGATGTGACATCAAATGGAAGGTTGTTAGCAATGCAGGATCTGACATTCTATGCTTGACACTTACTGAAGCTACATTTTAACACCACCTCAGGTGATTTGTATTCAAATTAAAATTTTAGAAGCCAGTGGGTAAATGACAACCCTAGGTATGCCCATAGTTCCTTGTGTACTCCTGTATCACAGCATCCATTATACAGCATTTACAAAGTTGTTTATTGTCTAAATCAGACTAAAGGCAACATCTAAGATTTTTGTTGTTGTTCTATATCCATTGTACTTGGCACATAATGAATACTTCATAAAGGTTTGTTATAATAAGTAAATGAGCAATTGAGCAAGACTAAATGAAAAGGAAGCACAAACTTTAACTTTTTATAGCAATTCATCAACTATATGTCAATAGAAAAATATTAATTACAAATGATAGAAAAACTAATTTTTGAAAAGATATTTTGAAAAACCTGTGTTTAAATGTGTCTTAGAAACACATTACACAATATTTTTAGCCTCACCAAATAGTACATGAAATCCAGGACTGTACCTAAAGCCTTTTATCATAACGTTTGCCCTTTCTTTTAAAAAAAGTCCCATACTCAAATTATCACTCATTTGGGTTGCAAGCCTGCAGCTGAAAAGATAGAAATAAGTTCCTTTTAGATTTCTATTGTTTTGTTGATGACACACAAATTATGAGAGCGTTTATCTTTAAGACTGCAGCTGTTGCTGGCTTGCGTCACTGTTTACTATAATTACTGCCTTCACATTTCATTCTGACCCATATCCCATTATAGGATATGCCCGGGCCAGATGAGCAACTTCTGAAACCAGCAGCAGTCATGGATGTTTGCAAAATCATTGCGTTAGAAATTTCTTTTCCTAATAACACGAAAATCCTTTAGTATGCGTTTCCCCTTCAACAAAAATCCTCACCTGGCTGTTTCTCGCCACTCAGCATCCTCACCTTCACGCCAGCAAATCTCATCCAGTTCTGTGAAAAGGTCATGAGGAATGTGTTCCTCATCATCATCCTCAGTTCCAAGAATAAACTGTACCCGCTGTGATGGGGTGTCTACGGAAAATTAGAGACATGAACATGTATTACAATGACTCTGAGCTTAAAATATCCTAGTCACTCTTATTACCACCCCAAACTCACACTCACCCTGACCTCGACTACAACACTCATCCAGAGTAGACACAGGAATTAAAACTAAATTTATCATTACATTAAGTCTAGCATGATTTGGGAGCATAAATATTTGCAAAATTTAAATATTAATGCATATATATTATCACAAAATCAAACATGATGATTATTTTACGTTGTTTATAATACATCATGAAAACTACTATTTCTCACACATTCACATTTTCTCTCATCATATATTAATGTGTTATATTTTATTGATAATATTCAGAAGAGTAGTATATGATAAAATTTACTTATATTAAAACTATGCTGAATATAACTCACCAAAAAACCTCCTTTCTGATGCTCCTTTGTAATCATATACACATGCTTCCTCTAACCCCTAGAAACCACTAATCTGGTGTCTGCTAGTTTTGCCTTTTCCAAAATTGTTATGTAAGTGAAAACACAGCATAAAACCTTTGAAAACACAGCATAAAACCTTTTGAGACTGGCTTTATTCATTTAACATAATGCTTTTGAGATTTTGATATTTACCTGTGTCATTGTGTGTATCACTAGTTCATTCCTCTTTATTGCTGAGTAATGATCTATGGTAGGAATATACCACACCTTGTTTATGTATTCACTTGTTGAAGGACATTTGGCTTTCCAGTGAATTATAAATATGGCAATTATGAATAGAACTGCTGTAAGTATTCTTGTATAGATTTGGGGGAAACGTTTTTATTTCTCTAGGGTAAATATCTTGAAGTAAGATTGCCAGGTCATATGGTGAGTGTATGTTCAACTTTATGAGATACTGCCGAACTGCTTTTCAGAATGACTGTACTATTTTGCATTTCCACCAGCAATGTATAAGGATTGCTGTTGCTCTGAATCTTCACCAGCACTTTGTATTATCAATTGTTTTTTAGCCATTCTGCGTAGTGATATCTCATTGTTAATTTACATTTCTCTGATGGCTGTTGTTGACAATTTTTTATGTTTATTTGACATCCATATTTCTTTTCTGGCAAAGTGTTTGTTAAAATATTTTGCTTATTTTTAATTGGGTTGTTCATTCCTTACTCTTGAGTTTTGAGAGTTCTTTATATATTCTGGACAGAAGACTTTATTGAACATATGATTTGTAAATATTTTCTTTTCTCCCCATCTGGAACTTGTCTTTACATTTTTTAAATAGTGTCTTTCACTGAGAAAAAGTTTTAAATTTTGATAAATGCTAACTTATCACTTTCTTCTGTTATGGACTACGCTTTTGGTATCAAATTTTAAAACTTTGACTAAAGGTCACAAAGATTTCCTTTATCTTTTCTTCCAAAGTTTTGTAGTTTTATATTTACATTAAGAGATATGGTCCATTTTGAGTTAATTTTAGTATAAGATGTGAGGATCAAGGTTCTTTTTTCTTTTGCATATGGATTTTAAATAGTTCCAACATCATACCATTTGTTGAAAAGACAAAAATAAAAGACACAGATAAAGTATATTCTCTATCAAATTGCCTTTGCACTTTTTTCAAAAATCAATTAGCTGTATTTGTTTGGACTATTTTTCTGGACTCTCTAGTCTGTTCCATTGATCTGGGTGGCTGTCTTGATCTGTGCAGGCTGGTATAACAAAGTACCATGAACTGAGTGGCTTGTAAGCAACAGAAATTTATTTCTTATAGTTCTGGAGGCTGGAAGTCTGAGATCAGGGTGCCAGCAGTGTTGGGTTTTAGTGAGGGCCTTCTTCTGGCCTGCAGACTGCTATTTTCTCCTTGTAATCTCATGTAGTGGAAAAGAATGAGGGAGCTCTCTGAGGTCCATTTTACAAGGGCACTAATCCCGTTCATGAGGGCTTCACTTTCATGACCTAATTTCCTCCCAGAGGCCAAAGCTCCTAATACCATCATACTGGTGATTAGAATTTCAACATGTGAGCTTTTTTTGGCAGAGGAGGGGAGACAAACATTCAGTCCATTGCATTGTCTATCCCTTTCACAATACCACACTTTCTTGATTACCATGGTTTTAAAGTAATTCTTAAAATCAGATGGTATGAGGGGGAGGAGCCAAGATGGTGGACGAGAAAAGCCACCAGGCAGAGTGTCTCTGCAAAAAAGATGAATTTTAGAAGAAAGAGAAAAAAATAAGCTAGCAGAGAAACATAGATGGGGTGAGGGTCAGAAGGAAGGGTGCCTGAAACTACAGGAGACCCCATGGGAAGACGTTGCAGAGGAGAACTGGAAGGAGAAAGGTCCCAAGAGGCTTGGAGACCAGCGACGAGGGTAGATGGAGCAGTTAACTTCCCCCTCCCTCACATCTCGGACTGCTGGTGGCTCCTGAGCGGCTGGAGAGACCTGCCGACACCAGCCCAGAGACGGCTGCCGCCAGTGAGCAGTGGCCTCTTGCAGACTCAGCGCCAGGCTCCCAGCCCCCTTGGGGCACCTCCCAGGGCGCAGACCCGAGCCTAGTGGCAGACACCATAGTGCTCCGTTCTCTCCTTCCCCCTCCCTACCCGTGCATGCCCAGAGAGACAATTTAGCCCTCACACGGAGGCCTCTCCAAGGAACAGGACCTTCCCTTTTGGGGCCCTACAGCAGACTGAGGGGTACTCAGACTGCAAGTTCCCTATTTGCCAGCCCTCCCAGGTGCTGCTTGCCTGGTAACTCCAGGAGAGTGGGGCAAATCCCGAGGTGGAGTGAAATCGATCCAGCTTGGGCACCCTGTAGGTGATTCAAGACCAGCACCCCTCCCCCTGGCAGGGTCAGGGATTGATCTCCAG